AGAAGAATCTTGAGAGGGAGGGGAATTTCATGGAAGTGGGGGACTGAGCCAGACCTGGAGGTGCTCAGGAGCTATTCTGGGCTCTGTGCTCAGGAGTGACCCCTGGAGATGCTCGAGGAAACATCTGCGGGTGCTTGAGATTGAACATGCAAACGCCTTCACCCTTGTACTATCCCCCTGACCCTTGGGGAAGGCCACACTTAGTAGTGTAGTGCTCAGGGATGACTTCTGGCTCTGCACTCAGGGATCACTCCTTGGCAGGATTGGAACACCATACAGGGTGTCAGGGATCGAACCTAGGTCAGCAGCTTGCAAGGCAAAGGCTATCCACTGTATTATCTTACCAGCCCCATGGCAAGATAATTTTTATAAGCCATAGCCTAGAGTGGCTTAGGTTAAAGAAACAGGTGGTTCTGTAATCAGGGGATAAGGTGAAAAAGACTAAACTTCACAGATGTTGAAGAATAGGAGTGTGAAGAAAGAAAGAAAGAAAGAAAGAAAGAAAGAAAGAAAGAAAGAAAGAAAGAAAGAAAGAAAGGAAGGAAGGAAGGAAGGAAGGAAGGAAGGAGAGAAAGAAAGAGAGGGAGGAATGAAGAAAGGAAGGAAGGAAAGAAGGAAGGAAGGAAGGAAGGAAGGAAGGAGAGAAAGAGAGAGGAAGGAATGAAGGAAGGAAGGAAGGAAAGAAGGAAAAAAAGGAAAGAAGGAAGGAGGGAAGGAAGAAAAAAAGGAATAGGAGTGTGAAATCAGGAGGTGGCTACTGAATTTAGCAATGTTTTCAGAAGGAATTGGAATTTGAGAAAAAGGTGACATAATTGAATCAGTTACTAGAGTGAAAGAGACATGTCCTGTCTCTAGTTGCGAGGCTACTCTTTCAAGCAGTCTCCTCTTTTGCATTTGTAGAGACCTTGGCTGGGCCAGGACTACAGTCAATGATTGCAGGCCAGAAGCCAATGGTTCCCTCTTGGACTCTCATTTCAATCACTTGCTGCTTCAGCCAAGTGACCTGAAAGACCATAGACAACAGCCTTCTTGTCATGTTATCCTCAGAAGTCTAAGATGATAGATAGGAAAAGAACAAAATTTAATCCAAGGCAAAGTCTTACCTCAGGTGAACACACGCACACGCGCACACACAATCACACACATAAACAACACAGTTAAGCCAAGTGGATTTCTATAAGTGACTGTTGGGGCTTTCCAGAATTTCCACAAAATTATACTTAAAGAGGCTTTAGCACAGCTTTTAAGGTTCATGAGCATTATCAACTGCCTTATGTTATCATTTTACAGAAATAATTAACACAGCACCAGAAAGGGGTTTTCCTTAGGGCGTTTATAAACAGGGTGTGCTCACTTTCTCCATCCTTAGTTTCTAGTACCAGAGATAAAAAGCAACCTCATATTTATACTGCTGGGAGCATTTCTACATTCAAGGGGTCCACCAATACGGGGGAGATAAACAATTACTAATTCAATTTAATCATTCAGTGAGTTTATCTAATGTTGAGAATGCCTGGAGAAAATATCCTTTAAATGTTTAAAATAAAAATTTAATGTTATTTTAATCTGCACTCATTAGAACTTTTAATGGCCTGCTAACATAATTTCTTAAGCACAGTAAATTGTATTTCTCATCACTTTCTGTTTCTGATGTGACCTTAGAGCTTTAGGCAACAAGACTAATGGTGTCAACCCAGCAACTCTCCAACTGGGTCCATTGCAGTTGACAACTTTGCTGCCGGGGATAGCTGTAGTACCAAGTACTTGAGAAGTGCCTAGTGAGCTTCCCAACAATTCAAGTCACAGCACTTATTTTGCAGTGCAGGAGAAGTGAGGGCTAATAAATTGAACATTCTCAGTTCTGACCTGAACCTCCCAGAAAACGATATATAGCTGGGATTCGAACTAAAGTCTCCCCGTTTCTGGATTTGGAATACACAGAGTACCCGTGTATTCTAGATAGTAGAAGGTTTTAGATGTAGATAAAAATTCTTGCCTAAAGGCAAGAGTTCTTGGATTATTTTAATATCATTTTGGACAAGTGGAGACTCTAGTTCCAGTCATGACTTTGATGACGGCCCTTCAGAAACTCATCATTGGTGATTCCAAAGTCACTCAATGTAGTGATCTTCAGCCACCACACTACAGATGGAGAAAGGTTGAAAACCACTGGTCTGCTCCCTTGGGTATCACTGCGGGTCTGTGTTCTGGTTTGCAGGCCAGGTGCTTGTCCGTAGGTGTAAGAAAGTTAAACTGATCTAAAGTTCACTGTAAATTACCCCTTTATATGTTCCCTGCCCCTCCCCACCAAAAATAAAAAAGAAATTTTGTTATAAAGTGGGAGTAATTTACCAAGACCGGTTCATAAAAGTTGAACTAACTTATAATTAAAACACAGTGTCTCTGCAGTTATATACTAGTAATTAGGTCAGCGGAAAAAGAGTGCCATTCAGTGAAAGACAATAAAATTAAGGTTGCAGTTCAAGAAAATAAAGATTTAATCAAGAGAAAGATTTTTGTTCTTAAGTAAGGAGACTTTCAGATACCTTTATGACAACTTTTCACAGAGGAAGCAGAATATCTTTAGTTCCCATTTCTCTATGAAAGCTAACTTCCCTGTTCTTCCTTAGATGCAGGTGTCATTGCAAGGCCATCTCATACTTGACATGATCATTAGATTGACTGGTGCACACTGAGAATGAAGGTAGAGGATGATAGAGGCAGGTAGAGGGGGCAAGGTGTGTCCTCACTGTGCCTATGTGACTGTATTATCTTAGTGGCTCATTACTTGACTATAGCCAATCTTCACTCAGGCACTGTGTTCACAGATAAGATCTGAGTTTTCAAGGCTGGAGCGACAGCACAGTGGGTAGGGCGTTTGCTTTGAACGCAGCCGACCCGGATTCAATTCCCAGCATCCCATATGGAGTAACTCCTGAGTGCAAAGCCAGGAGTAACCCCTGTGCAATGCTGGATGTGACCCCCACCTCCCCCCACCCCCCAGAAAAAGATCTGAGTTCTCATTGAACTAAAATTTTAAGAGCAAGAGAGACAGACAAGCCAACAAATGTAAATAAAAAGTGCAAACAAAATAGCAGGGATGGCAACCAGGATAAAAAGACAGAGGGTCTTCGAATTACATCATGTTATTCGATATCATTTTGTCTAACTTTGAAGAGAGAAAACAAAATTGATTCTCAACAGGAGTCACTGTGTGGAGTTTGTCCACTCTCCCATATCTGTGTGCAGATTCTGTGAGTAACATGATTTCCTTCCACGTCCCAAGATGTTGATGACCAGTCTGGTGGTGTGTCTCAATGGTCCCAGTTGGTGTGAGTGTGCGAGGGAGCATACCCTGTGTTGGAAAGGCATCCTGCCCAGGGCTCAGTCCTGCTTTATTGTACTGAGATGCCAAGATAGGCTCTGGGCACTCTCATGATAAACTGGAACAAGCAGGTTGGAAAAATCAATGAATGGATGGATGAGAGGATGCAAATGACTGCAGAATATCCGCGGTGTTTGTGATCTTTATTTAGAAGTTTTCCTTTTTTGTGTGTGACTGAAAGTATGCCACAGGAACATAACTCTTGCTTTTTTTTTCAATTGGTCACTGGTCACCTTAGTCTCATTATACATCATTTTATTCATAAGTGCCATATCCAAGAGCCTATTGATAACAAAAAGTGAGGATTTAATGTAACGGAGGCACTAAGAGAATAAATTAACAAGAGGAGTGAGTGCTCCCCTGCAGAACGTGATGTGAAAACAGCCACTAAAAGAGGAAGAACTAGAAGGAACTGCATTTCAGGGAGACGGAACAAAAGACCCAAGGTTCTGGAGAGAAAAAGAACCTGGAGTGTTCGAAGAACTGCACAGAAGAGCAGTGAGCTGTGGATCAGTTACCAAGAGAAAAAGAGAGAAGAGGCAGCTGGGAATGGGTCATGAATGACAGTGAGGGCCAATCTAGAGTCACAAATTATTTTTAAGTGTGGGGCAAAGCCATTGTGGAGGTGAGTGATGGCGGGGGGGGGGGGAGGGAGAGCACAACAGTGTTCAGTACTTACTCATGGCTCTGTGCTCAGGGGTCACTCAATGCTCGGGGGTTCTTATATGGTATTGGGAATCAAACCTAGATCAACAGCATGTGAGACAAATGCCTTCAACCCCACTGGGGGTTTTTAAGGGAGGTTGTACGAGGGTCAGAAGTGCGTCCGCAAAGGATCTGGCTGACAGAGAAACATGTGTTGTAGGTCGAGTGACTATGTTCATCATGGCAGCACACGTCCTTCTGTCCCTTGTTACAGGCACTGCACGCATGGATAAATCAGACTGTCACCTGCTGTTTGGGGGTTTGTAGCTGAAGGTCACTGTGACTTTGAGACTTCGTGGTTTTACAGACAACAAAAGTGGGAACCTGTGGCGTATCCTAATGTTCTATTTGGCTAAGGAAAGTAAGAAATCAGCGAACATCTGGGATCACATTAACTTCATAAAACAAAATCTTTAAGCCAAACATATAGGAATGTAATCTCAAGGGGGAAAATAAATATATATTTTCAATATTTTGCAGAACCAGTGAAAAGCCTCATTGCAGACTGGGTACACAAATATGCATCAACATTCAGAAATCTGAATTTAAAAATCAGAGTACTCCCCTCTCCCCCAATTCATGGAGGAGGTAACTTGAGGTTCAGGAACCATGTGGCTTTCTCAGGGCGATGAGGTAAATTAAGGGCAGAGAGCCAAGGCCTCAGACTCCTGACTCAGGGTCATTTTCATCCCATTACCTCAGCACGCTGCATATTTCAGTCTATTCCTTCCATTTTGCCAAGGTTTCATCTATTCCCATCCAGTGTGATTACATGGGGCAGCTTCACTTCCCTGCCAGTTCTTCGGAGAGCTGAGATGCTTATCAACGCCAGAACTCCAAGCAGATAGCTCTCAGCCTGGGGCCCCACACAATGAAATTCTTTTTTTTGTGCAAGGGCAGTATGTCTCACCTGATCTTCAGATATGCGGCGACTCCAAACACCAACAACACCACAGCGATGACTGTCACTGTGATGGCTGCGATGCTGCCTGTGAAGGGGCGGAGCACAGGGGAGAGAGAACACCAAGGGCCGTTACTCGGTTATTCATTTCAAACTGTTTCAGAACCAGAATAAACGCAGGAGTTAATTCTGTTACCGACCAATCCTCATGTTGGGCGAGGCACAGTGAATGATCAATATTTATTAAGACCTTTTGCCAGGCCTGGAGTTTAGGGGACGGTTCACAATAATATTTGATTATAAACATGACATCAATCTATTGTTGCTGCCATTACTGCTCACAGGGTAGTGAATTTAAATATCCTGCAGTTCCATTTTCCCTCTCCTCCCCTCCCATCCTTTCCTTTCCCCTCCCCCTCGCCACCTTTTTTCCCCTCTCCCCTCCCTCACCTCCCCTTCCTTCTCCTCCCCTCCCTGCCCCTCCCCTCTTCTCTCCTCCATTTCCCTTCTCTCCTTTCCTTTCCTCTTTTCTCTTTCCTTCTTTTTCCTCTCCTCTATCTTTTTTGTCTCTCTCTCTGCCTCCACCCCCCCCTTCCTCCCTTTTTTCATTCTCTCTCTCTGTCTTTCTGTAGTTTTTGGCTTGTCTTTCAACTCTTGTAAAATAAGGGAAGGCTTAGGGTGTTTAATGCAACTATCACTACAAAGTAATGTGGCTGGATTTTAAAAAACCAGGACCATTGAGCTTGTTCAGTAGAGAGCACTTCAAAAGGGTCATTTGGAAGGATGTGCCTTCATTTTAATGATGCCATCAAATCAAAACATTTTCATTTATTTTATTATTTTAAGTACGGTTTGATAATGTTGTACTATATTTGGTAACTGTCCCCTCAAATTCTGTGGTGTAATTAACATATATTAATTTAAAAAGTCAATGATTTGATGATCTTCAGTTTGCAGAATAGGTTTACTTAACACCAATCACCTCAAATAATTTTGTGTTTTTCTGTGATGAAGTTTATATTTTGTTTCTGGGCCACACCCAGTAGGCTCGGATGACAATATGGGGTGCTAGGGATTGAACCCAGGTTGGCATGTGCAAGGCAAACACCCTACCGGATGTACTGCTGCTCCGACCTCCTGTGATGACATTTTAAAGATCTTTCAGAAACTTTCAAATAAACAGTGCGGTGCTAATAACAGTAGCCATGAATGTTGCGCATTATATCTTTAGAATTGACTTTTCTCATAACTAGAAGTCTGTATCTTTTGACAACCTTAATTAATTCCCCCCACCCACTTATACCTTTGGAAATCACCAATCTATTTTCTATGCATTTGATTTATTGTTTGAGATTCTACACAAAGGTAAGCTCATGCAGCATTTGGATGTTTTATTTTTTTCTGTATGACATTTCATTTAGATTATTTTAGTGTGTAATGTTTTGCTTTGGTTACTAACTCCTTATCTTTGAACTCACTATGAAACTTCCTCCCTTTATGTTTCATATTTTGATGCATATTAGGAGACATCTTTATATTATATGTATCATTGGACCGCTGTTACTTTACTTTTACTATTTTTGTCTTTAATCTTTATGGGACTACTTTTACTGTAGAGTTATATTTGCCAGTAAAATGTTTTATTTTGCATGTTTTCTCGTTTGTGCCATTTATTTTCTGTTGAAGTTTATTAAACATTACTTGCAAGGCTTGTTGAGTGGCAATGAATTTTGTTAGTTTTTGTTTATCTGGGAAGTTCTTAATATCTCCTTAAATTCTAAATGTTAACCTTATAGGTTTAAGAATTCTTGGTTATATATGTGTGTGTGGTGGTGTGTGTGTGTGGTGTGGTGTGTGTGTGTGTTTGTGTGTGTGTGTGTGTATCTAGCACTGTCCAGCACTGTCCTGTTGTTCATCGATTTGCTTGAGTGGGCACCAGTAATGTTTCCATTGTGAGATTTGTTGTTACTGTTTTTGGCATATTGAATACATCACGGGTAGCTCTTCAGGCTTTGCCATGCGGACAGAATACTCTCAGTAGCTTGCCGGACTCTCCGAGAGGAGCGGACGAATCGAACCCAGGTTGGCTGCGTGAAAGGCAAATGCCCTACCCGCTATGCTATTGCTCCAGTCCATATATATGTCTTGTAATGCTTGTCTAGTTTCTAAACTTTCTATTAAAAATTGCTTATGGTCTAAATGAGATTATTTTGCATGTGATAAGTTGCTTTTCTTTGTTTTTCATATCATCTTTAACTTTTGCCATTTTTAAACTAGGGCATCATGATTTAAAATAGTATTAATGTCAGTATTCAAGGTATACAATTTATGTACAAAATTATATACTGTAAGATACCATACCACCATCAGATAATTTTTACAATTTTAATGATATTGTGTTTCGGTGTGGATCTCTTTGGTTTTCTTTCATTTGATATTTGTTGGGTTTCCTGTACCTGGAAGTCTATTTCCTTTATAAGATTAGGAAATTTTTCAGACATTATTTCCTGAAAACATTTAATTATTTATTTTACATCTAGTGGGTCTATAATATGAACATGATTTCAACTGATATTGTTCCAGAAGTCTGTTATCTTCACCTTTTAAAATATCCTTTTACATTTTGTTGTTATGAATTTTATTGCTTTACTGTGGGACTCATGATTACTCTCCTCCACTTCATTCTGTCTTTCATAGGACCCCATATTAGTCCCATCAGTGGTATCATTGCATTCTTCAGCTCTGTAACTTCCATTTGTGTCTTCCATAAATTTTCTTGTTCACCTATTCACTATCCAAAATTGGCTAATATATTTATAGCCATTACTCCGAACTCTTTATCAGGCAGTTTGCCTATGTCCAATTCCTTTGTTTTCTTCCAGAGTTTTATCTTGCTCTCTCATCTGGGTCATGCTCCTCTGTCTCTTCATTATGCCAGATTTCCTGTCCTGGCTTATGTACATTAGATCACTTTACTGCCTGTCCTAATCCTGTAGGAATTGTCCTATGCAAGTGCTATCCCATGAAATCCAAGAACATTGTCCTCCACTTACTGCAGTCTCCTGTAGATGATTCCATATGTACTTGTAGAATTCCTGTGTCTGTGGAAGTCAGTGCAGTCTTCCTGCACTATACCTCCATCTTGACTTTAGCATAAAAACATCTTAAACCATAAGAAAAAAAAAAAACCAAAAACTCAATATGCAGTAAAACTCTTCTTTGGGAAACATGCCCAGTTTTCAGTCTTGAATGCTGACTTTGATTTTGTAGGGAATGAAGTTAATTTTGGTGGAAATATAAAGCCAAGTCTGGTAGGTAACACTACTTTTTGTTTGCAGAAATAACCAGGTGCAATTATAAAGTAACATTAATGTTTTATTGTTTGAAACCTAATTCCAAAGGCAACTATTAATGTGCAGTTAAAGAAATCTTTTGAGCATGTAGCCCTCTGAGAACAACCAAACTGTTTCCAAAAATTACAATTTGAAGCATAACACTCTTTTTGTGTGAGCTTGGACTATAAATGTATATAATTCAGGTCTGTTTCACCTTAGAAATTCCAAGAATTAATTGAATTTTTGTCCCCTCATAGGTAAAGTGACTTTTTGGCACTGAAACTGGTATTTGTGACCCCATTTACTGTTTGAGGCCACTGGGAAATTATTTACTACTTTAACAAATGAATGGAACTCTTAAACACCTTGGAAAAAGCATCAAAGATCTGGAGTCTAATTATAGTGCAATCATTATTAGCTTTTGTGTGGTTCCATCCATATTAGCTATGTGATTATGCTTTATTTACTTAAACCCACTCATGTACTACTCACCTGCATCAATGGAGAAAGAGGAATTGTCCTACCCTTCCACACAACACTGATGGTTTCAGTGAGCACTAAGCTAAAGTCCTCTCCAAAGGTATCACCCTGGACCAAACCTGTCTAGAATGTACCAGGTCTCAAAATGTGATGGATTTGTCCCACAGTTTTGGAGACTTGACATTTGTAGATTATTTTATATATATCTCTATATAAATATATATATTTATATATATATATATAAATATATATATCTATATATCTATATATATAGATATATATATCTATATATCTTTATATATCTCTATATTATTTTATATATATATAAATAATATATATATATTATTTTATATATATATCTCCCAAAATGAAAGCACCCATGATTCTCATGTTATAAATTTTGTACAACAGCCAAGGAGGTATATGGTAACACTGACACTAAGATGAAGTTTCTTATGTATAGAGGACTGATCATGTCATGCCAGTTAAGAACTTTTCACCATTCTGGGACCACACATTCCCATCCATCTCATTATTCCTAGAATCATTTACAGATAGTGTAATTATCAGTACCTTTTTACTCTCTTCCATTTTAAAGTGTAAAGGTTGGATTATGGCACCGAACGCTCAAATGCGCAGGCTGGATGAGAAGAGACTACTCTGGGTCACATCCTCTAGAAAACCTTCAGTCCTACATCAAAAGTCTGCACTTGGCTTCTCAGCCTCCAAACTGTGCTGAAATTAGAACACTGATAGCTTCTAACAGCTCTTTTAAGAACTTGTGAAATGAAGATTATTACTGCAAGCCAAACTGATAGAGTATTTTAAGATTTAAAAGATATGAAGGTTGTGCAAGTCAGTCCGGTGTTTTTTTTTTTATTAAAAAAAAACCCTGAAACTTTAATTAATTTCTCCCCTTTAAAAAAGTTGGAAAGAGAAAGCACAGAGCTGGTTTTCCTATGATGCCTGCCTTAGGGAGAGTTTACTATAGAAAATCGTAGGTTTGACCTTCTTCAGAGTTTTCCCCCTAACTCTAGGCAGTTGGATCTCCTCCAAGACCTTGATTTACTGAATTGATTTATATACCACCTCTTTCTAAAGATAAATCAGGCAGCTTCCCAACTCAAGTGCTGCCTTCTTTTCTCTCCTCTGCTCCCTTCTTTCTCTCTCTTCCCCTCCTCTTTTCACAGCAAGTGATAAAGTGACCCACTTACATGACAGTGGCTGTTGGAGCAACCCCCTTTATTTTTTTTAATAAGTATTCTCTGTATTT